GCCTTGTAACTTCTCATATTTACTTTTTTTTTTTATATTTATTTTGTGTTGAAATTATAAAAAGTGGGACCATTTTCTATTTTTTGTAAAATTTCTTTTTCACATTTTTTATTTGAGCAAAGCAAATGGTTGATCTAGACTCCAGAATAAAATAATTTCTTTTATACTATTTCCGAAGTTTGGATATTTGCTCTTTCAATATGATGTGTAACCATATTGACAGGAAGAAGCGAAGTTTATCCAAAGATCAAAAGGATATCGAATCATTCTTACCAAAAAAAAAGCAAAAGGATGTTGAATCCTTATGGATTAAAGTAATGATCTAAGAAACCATAATATATACAAACTTACAGAGATAGCCATTGTTGAGCCTTCAATCTTAACCCTAACCCAGTTGGGTTCAGGTTCATACAGTTTTCATTTTATTTTGCTAAGAACTTTTTTTTTAGGTTTAAGGTTATCCCAAGTATGATTCACTAGTTTTAGCATTATTATATGTACAAGGATGAAGTTCGGTGCCTTTGGAGTATCATATTTAATCATATGACACTAGAGAATTTCTTCTATAGAATCCTGTTTCTCCATTCCATTCTGTTTAGTGTTATATCCATTGCTAAATTATGAGCATTTAAATCATTTCTTACTACTTCAACACATGTCCTTTTTTATTTGCTCCTATATCTTCTAGCCAGTTCAACTTTATGCATGTAAGGCTTAATAAAAATATATATACTTTGTGCTTTTGTTGGATTTGTAGGAATTTACCTAATGCATCCAAGCATATCCATATCTTCCTACCATATCCATGCATATCCAAAGTGTAACACAGTATGTATCCAATTCCAAACTCATTTATATGATATGCGATGTATTTTGAACGCTGCTCCTACCAAGATTCTCTCTCATAAAAGTGGGAACCACATCATTTTTCTTTCTATTTTACTTTTTCCAAACAAATAACATTCCTTTTGCCTTCATTCTCTTTCCTATTAGATCTGAAGTAAAAGTGAACCAAAACCCAAAATACACATGGAAACCAGAAATCCACAAATAAAGGTTATTTATTTCTTATGCATTTTCACAAGTTACAACTATTAAAATCACCAAAACACTTCATTTTAGGTGTCTTTTTTTTTGAAAATTTAATGTTTTTAAATGTTGATTACAAGTATAAACACCATATAAAAATATATAACCAAAAATAAAAAACTATTTTATTGGTCACCCGAAACCTACAATACACATTCATGGGTATCGAGTGTATTGATACTTTGAACTGTGGAACAGTATGTGTTTGCATCAGTTTTCAGGATCACCGAAATGCTTAAGACTGAGAATTAGAACCTTTCAACTCAATAGGTTTAAACATTGATAAACAAACATCCTTATATAGATATTTTTTTAATATAACAAAGTGAACAAAATTATAAAAAAAAACATCATGATTAAAATATGATTTTATATTACACTTTAATTAGCATAAAAATATGAAGTTTAATATTTAAATAATATTTAGTGTATCAACCATATCAATCTGTCCTAGTTTATAGCTGTATTGTGCACCTCGGTCGAAAGAATGATATGCCTCAGCCTATATTGATCATATTACATTGATATTCTGTTTGAACTTTTTAAGGACCTATTCGTTTTTCATCAAATAGAAGGGGGGAAGTTGGTCGACGAGAAAGTGGCTCTTGACCAATTTTTCTGTGCTGCGTGGTAAACTGTTGGCCTTGCAGAAAAGTTGCTTATCCTGGTAAGTGATACCAATCTCTCAAATAAATAACTTTCTCAATAAGGGGACAAAGTTTACGACAAATTTGTCTATTCTAACAATGGCCTTTTGTGGATAAAAAAAGTCAATGTCTAACTTTCTTAGAAATCAAAAGATCATGGATAAGTGAAAATATTCCCAAGGAAGCATTTACCTAGGTACAAGTGGCCTCTTAAAAAAGAAAATAGAACAGGGTGTAAAATCCACACTGAACTGGTCAACAAAACCTGAGAGCCCGTTTGGCAGGACTTCTGCAATGATTAAATTTCTTCCAAGAAGCTACTTGACATAGCTTTCTTGGAATGGAAAGACAATTTTGTGAATTCTATTAGCCCAGTCTTGATTTTATCAAACACAGCTTCACCACATTCTAATAGCTTTATAAAAAGTCGATTTTGTGTCATCTGGAAGCCTATTCTCGATTTTCCAGGTTTTAATAAAGATGGCTTCACAGCATTCCAATACCTTTACCAGAAAGTTAATTTTGCTGCTTCTGTTATTCTCCACTTTCATGGATTTTATCAAACACTGCTTCACTTGCATTCCAGGTTCCTCAGCTCATGTAATGCCAGAAGCCCTATTTCCATTTTTCTTTTTTTTTTTGATCAATAACACAATTCATTAATTCATTAATTATCACAATAATTACAGAGAGGAAGACAAACTTTCTCATCTTCCAGCTACATCAAGAGCCCCAAAAGAGGAAACAAGAGAGAAAGAGAGAACAGACAAAGAAGAAAAGAATTACAATAATCACATCTTTGCCCAGAACATGACATCCCTGTCCACCCCTTGTTTAGCTAGCCCATCAGCAAAAGAATTAGCTGACCTTTTTACCCAACTGATTTTAACTTCCATTTCTTGAACCAGCCATTTGAATTTTCTCTTCAAATTACTAATACTCCATAAGCTGCTATCTTTTTTGTTCAGCCACCCAACTACCACCTCCGAGTCCCCTTCAATTATAAGTTTTCTAATTTTCATCTCCCTAGCTTTCTGGATACCTTCCAAAACTGCGTGGATCTCATATTTGAGAGAATCGCCCACACCAATTGGGCCTGAAAACATGGCAAAAACAACCCCATTCTCATCCCTGAAGACACCCCCAATCCCTAATTGTCCGGGGTTTCCTTTGCTACTTCCATCAAAGTTTAGTTTCATGAAACCCAGAGGTGGGGGAGTCCAAGGCACACTCATCCCTGCTTTAATTTGGGTACAGCTAGCAATCGCGCCCCACTTCCTCAGCAAGTCATCTACTGAATATTCTGTGAACAACTCTAGGGACTTCATCCACTGAATAACCCTTATGTGGATCAGGGCCCTCAACTCTTCAGCCCCTCTCTTTACATCAGAGAAGATTCTGGAATTTCTTTCTTCCCACAAAGAACAACATATTGCTACTCTCAGTCCTCTCCATATAGTCCTTCCCCTTTTCGTATGCCACCTGAAAAAAGAAGCAAAAAGGCCTTGCAAATTTGATGGCGAGATCCAAGTACACCCAAAAAGAGATAAAGCTCACTCTCAAATAGACTTTGCAAATTGGCAAGACACCAGAAGATGAAAACCGGTCTCCCCATCAACATTACAAAGAATACACCAATGAGGGGACAAACAAGCATCGGGTCTCTTATTTTGGAGAAAATCACTAGTGTTGAATCTTTCCAAAAAGGCTTCCTAACAAAAACTACCAACCTTAGGAGGAATTGGTCTACACCAAACCTCATTAACAGGGAAGGGGGGAGGGTTACAGGATTGGACGGCTAGCAAAGCACTTTAAAGAAAGAGGCACAGGAGAAAAAGCCGGTAGGGGTGGGGGTCCAGATTCTAGAGTCATTCTTAGTAGGGTCCAAGAAAATATTATCAAGAAGGAGACTTGAAATATTGTTTAGGTTGGAGTCTCTTACAACCCTTCTCAGACCCAAATTCCAACCAAAACTAGACAAGGAAGAGGAAAGAGTCAAGGAGGAAACTGGCTCATTCTTAAAATCAGAAAGTGCATACAAGGAAGTAAATTGGTCCTTAAGAGATGCATTCCCCACCCAAGTTTGTTCCCAGAATTTTATGGAATTGCCTGAGTTTAAATCATACCTGACACAAGGAGAGAAATCTAGTAATAAGTCATGAATGGCTTTCCAAGACAAGGCACTTGTGAACCTAGCCAGAATTCCAGCATCCCATCCATTTAGTTCCAGCCCATGAATGCTTACCACAATTTGGCCCATAATTTCTCCTTCTCTAGTGGGAATCTCCATAACCATTTCCCCAGTAGTGCCAAATTCCTCTCTCTAATGTTCCGAAACCCTAACCCACCATTGTTTTTACTTCTGGTCACCACCTTCCAACTTACCCTATGGTCCCTCTTCTCCTCTCCCGACTCCCAAAGGAAGTCTCTCGTCATCTTTTCCAGCCTGTTAGCAACCTTTATTGGGATTTTGAACACTAAAAGAAAATTGATGGGTAAATTTACTAAAGTAGCCTCAATCAGTGTTATCCTACCTCCAAGAGAAAGATAGTTCTTTTTCCAAGATGTGAGTCTCTTCTCAAACCTTTCCACCACCGGATTCCAGAAACTCTCCCTCTTTGGGTTGTCACCCAATGGCAGACCAAAGTAGTTCAACGGCCATCCTGAGATCTCACACCCCAGCACTTCTGCACTCTCCCTAGTTTCTTCCTCCTCCAAATTCACACCCACTACACAACTTTTCTCAAAGTTCACCTTCAAATTTGACATTCATTGAAAAAGCAGCACCACCAGTTTCATGTTCCTAATATACTCCAAGTTTCCTCCTTCACAGAACAAAATCGTATCATCTGCAAACTGTAATGAGACCCCTAGAGTCCGCTCTATGGATCAGTCTCCCCAAAACATCAGCAATCAATGTGAACAATTGCCAAATAGGCATTGATCCAACCAGAACCGTATCCTATTTCCAATTACCAAATATATAGCTGAATCAGAAATCTTCAATTTTAATTTTGTTCTAAACAAACTTATTTATGATGTCAGCCAGTTAAAGGAAGGTCAAACCGGTCAAACCTTGAACCAAGGTCTTTTCCAGTTCAACATCTCCAAACAATGGAACAATCTTATCAGAATTTTGATACAAGAACCAGTATTTTAGCAAAAAAAAATGACAAACAAAACACTGTTTTCTTTCCAACTTCCAAGTAACATCTTAACTGGAGCTCAAAACCAGCCAGACCTTTCTATTATGAACTGGAGTCATTTAACATGCAAATAACCACTCTTTTTGATTACTGAAAGCAGTATGAACTGTATTGTGATTTGTGAATTAAAAGTCTGGGCTTAAACTTTTTCCCTTAAAAGTTAAAACAGTTCAGGGTCATGCAAGCTACTTGACAACAGTGAATGGATGCAGATACCACACAATACCAGTTTGCCCACCAAAAGTACTCTTCACTGCTGAACATAAATAGTTCAACATTAAAATCATGCCACCCTGTCATCGATGAACTTTATTCTAACCACTGAAATTGAAGGTCTTGGATGCAACTAATAACAGAAAAATAAGAAATGCGAGCAATTGCTTTGCAAAACAGTCCCCACGAAAGATGGTATAATAACATCAGACTCCCACAGCATCACTTGCGTATCCCTGGAACCCTGTTAAGAATACAAACTACATAAACAAATAGAATTGCCAAATGCAAGACAAAAGCATAGTGGTTTTCATAGAAACAAACAGGCAACTACAAGTACATTTTTCCAAGCCAGTGTCCAAAAATATTGCCATGGTTCCGTAATAGGTTTCATGTTTTACCACATAGCTTTGACTTAACTCCAAAGTCGTTCACTTTTGACCATAGCACAAAAGGGCTAAGGCAATGCCTGTGTTACTGTCATACATAGCACACCATGACAGTATGGCAATGCACAATATACACGTCTATTGACTTCTGTTGAAACAGTTCAGTGATGGATCAAGTTACCGCTTTTGACATATCTATACCCTTTTTGTATCAGCAGCACAACTTAACCATGATATAGTTGCAACTCAGACCGGGTTAGCCCAAACCCAACCCAAAACATATGAATCTGACTTAACTTCCGGTTGGGTTAAGGTTGAAGCCTTGACCAACCCAAACATGACATGTCTTCATATTTATGTGTAAATATTATATAATATATGTATGTATGCAATCATGCATCCATGAATACACGTGTTTTTTAAGAGAAAACTAGATTTCATTAAAGAGAAACAAAGTACATGAGATAATGCACAGGGAAAGCAGCGCAGTGCATGTTTATATATACATGTATCAACAATTTTATGGACGTTTCTGCTGACCAGCAATTCAAGCCTGTGTCATAAAATATAATGGAAGTGTAACTAATACAACCATGGACATTCCCGGTTCCTTCATTCTTTCACTCTTCTTTATGTGTCACCATGGACATTTCTGCTGACCGGGGCGATTCAAGCCTGTGTTTTTCTGTGACAAGCCTGACCAGTGATTCAAGCCTGTAAAGGTTTCGGTGTTTCAAGCCTGTGTTTTCTGGTTTTAAGGGGAAGAACCTATGAGTCTTGAGAAATGAAGATTGTAGCAGATTTTGGATCTGATGAAATAAATCTATCTCAACTGCAAGATATTAGATCCGTTGGAGGTAGTTGAAGCAGACCAATTTGGGAACTACAAGACTGGAGTAACAAAGAAAGGTGTTTATTATAGAGACTCGGCATTCTGTCATGCACTCAAGGTGTTCGTTGAAAATATTGTGAGAAGAGAGGCTGTCTTTTTAGCTTGGACACAGGAGGATTTACAAATCCAATGCATCAGAAGGAAATCTACTGATAGGCAGGTCAGTATAATTTGAAAGAAACTCTGTTTTTTCATAGGTCTCACCCTGTGGTTAAATCTCTACAAACGTGAAAATTGTCTTTTGGAATGCTAAGGGTTGTAATAACCCAATGGTGCATTTCTTGAAAAGATTTTGTAATACAGAAAACCCTGATGTCATATTTACATCAAAAGAAGGCTGACACGAGAAAATAGCCATAAGTTAGTAAGAAAGCTAACTTACTTACAAACAATATGTTATACGAAGAGGCTAAGGGGTAGTCTGGAGGTTTGTTGTGTTATTGGAAGGATGATATACCCTTGAAAATTTAAGAAGCATTAGAATGATGGTTCATATTGGAAATGGAGAATACCGAGAAAGAAGACATTTGGAAGATGTATCTGTCATTTGGAGATCCTGAGAGGAGGAATAGAAAATTATTTTGGGAACAGTTGTCTAAGAGGCCCTACCTAGCACATCCTAAGTGGATACTAATGGGAGATTTGAATGACACAGATAAAGTTACAAGACCATGAACAGAGGATGTTTTAATACTCATAGACCATCTCGGGCTTTATCTCAATGGATTGAGCAATGTAATTTAATGGAGATTGACAGTTGGGGCCCCCATGGAGGGGTGGTTGTAAATATTCCCAGAAGCTAATCGGCAGAATAGATACACCTTGCATTCTGATCATACAGCTGTCATGTCAGTTAGACACACATCAAACAAAGTTACAGGGGCCTAAACAGTTTCACCTTCTACCTATGTGGTCTGAGGAAGGAATAGAAGGGCTCAGGCATTCAAAGTAATAAGAAAATTAAAAAAAAAAATGTAAAGAGAAGTTGAGGGAGTGGAACAAACAATCTTTTGGAACCATTGGTGAAAATTTAAAGAAAAAAAAAATAGAGGAACTACATCTCACATTGCAGCAAAATGATATGGGTTTCACCTCCATACAAGTTAAACAACTAGAGAGAGAATATAATAAATGGTTGGTCCAAGAAGAGCAATTATGACAACAAAAACCAAGGAAGATATGGTTAGCTGAGGGGGATAAGAATACAAAGTATTTTCATCAAGTCACAAACCATAACCAGAGGAGAAATTATTACAAGGGCATCAGGGGTATGCAAGGGGAGGAGTTAAAAATAGAAGATTTGGCAAAAGTTTTCAAAGAACATGCTCAGCAGATAGAAGAGGAAGAAGTAGAACAAGATTATGGGTTGGAAATATTAAGTCTATCCACATTAAAGGAGGAAGCTAAGGAGGAGTTGCTCAGGGCACCAACAAGGGAGGAAATACAGGAAATTGTTAACAAAATGAAGGCTCATTTTTTTAATACTGACCACTTTCCAAGAGAACTGCATTGCATTAATTTGGTATATATTCCAAAAATAAAAAATATGGAAAACATAACCCATTTCAAGCCAACAAGTTGTTGCAATGTCTTATATAAGATAATATTGATAAAAAAATGTCTTATATAAGATAATTGCAAAATGTTTGGTTCAGAGATTGCAAAATTAGTTGAGTGGGTTAATAGCCAAACACCAATCAGCTTTCAAAAAAGGCCAGCAAGAAATAGGAGTAGAACCTGTAGTTGTAGTGCCAACCAGCAGGAAAGGGAATAGTAAACCAAGAAGGAGATAAGAAGAAATAGAGAAAGCACCAAGATTTAATGTGGTTCAGCTCAGTAGTCGGTAGCCTACATCCACAGGAAGATCCTTTTACAGGTCTCTGGTTGCCAAGAGATCTCACCAGAAGAATTGTTGCTTTCCCCAAGTGTTGTGAAATAATAATCAAGAAGGGGAATGGAACTTATCGTTCAGATTCCCAAAGTGATAGTAAGATTGCACTTAAGATTAGAGAAGACAGACAGAAGAGCCACGGTTTGGATGTGATAGTATGGTTGAAGGGATTCATAGATGGTGTGATCCACTCAATTACGGAAGCTGGGTGAAAAAACTCATTGGGGTGCAAGAGAAGTGTAATGACGCTGAGTTGAGAAGAAATGGGAAGGGCTGGTTTGTGACCATAAAAGAACACTTCGGCAGAAACAGAAATGATTTGTGTGAGAGGGAAAGGAGAAAAAGGGATGGATTTCAGTTGCAGACAAGTTACAGGATTTCCTAAACTCAGTTACAAGTTATGCTTCCAAGCAAAGAAACACCCGTGGTGAAGGAAGTGAAAAGCTGAACCTATCCATTTGTTCAGCTAATTCGGATAAGCCCAGAGAAGAAGAGAAGGATCCCAGCCCTAAAGAACAGACCCCAACACCCAGTGGGTTCTCGGCTGTTAGCTCAAGAGCTGTCCATAGATGTTGATTGAGGTAGAAAGAGGGGAATGGGAACAGAGGATGGTGCTAAAAGTAAGAAAAGGGGTCAAAGATTGGAAGAAAATACTTGATACGGTGGCAGAGAAATTAGGAGTCCAGGCTACAGCCATTCGCATACCATTCAAAGACAGGAAAGCAGTGCTTGATATAGGAAAGGACGAAAGGGATTTTATAACAGTTGAAACAGATGAGAGACTTGTCCTAGTGCAGAGTTGGATGCCAAGATGCAATGAAAAGACGGTCAGACAGAAGTTTCTTGATCAAACTATTGGGGCTTCCTTTCCATCTTTGGAGAGGATCAGTCCCAGCAGAATGTGAAAGCATAAGAAGGGGTCCTTGAAGACTTCAATCTGAATGATCTGCTTGCTGCAAAGGTATGGATCGCCGGGGTGAAACTAGAGAACTTACCTCAATTGTTTCAAGTGCCAGGGATGGATTTGAAGCCAAGTCTGGATAGCTTCAGAAGTTGAATCTTTACTGTGAGAAGGTGCCAGGGATGAAGATGAGCACATGGGAACACTCGATTATGAACTCTAATTCAAAAAGGAACTCTAAATAAAAAATGCACCTGGAAAATAGAAAGACTTAAGTCCCATCACATATCAACATCCTATAAATAAAATGGCCATGATTCCCAAAACATGTCAGATTTACAAATAAGTTGAGCCCCAAAAAAACATAGCTAGAAAGAAAGTGATTTAATTGCAACTTGAACTCGTTTTTTTGTAAAGTAACTTGAACTTTCAAAATTCTAAAAACTCCTTAGTTAAGACTACTTAAATTATCTGTTTAGATGATTAACCCTATTCCCTAGACATTAACAAAATAGAAGCAACTTAAGAAAAACTAATGTAACCAAAAGTCATATCACCCAATAATTACAAAATTGTCATTAGTACATGAATCTATAAAAACTTGATTTCTTCTTTTCATGATTTATTACCTTACATCTAATTCTGATCTTTTATTAAAAAAAAATCATAGCTTGGGGAATGCTTAGGCAGGCACCTGGTTGGCTATGCAACAAGAGGATCAACTACTGCCTAATGGCACTACCGTAGTGCCTTGACAACCATGATTGGCCTCCATTCTTTGGTTTGTGATGAGAACCCTCATTCAGTTAATGTGTGAAACACTTATTGGCATAAAACATCTTACTGCATGAAAATGTCCCTTAAATTTTAGGCATGAACCTCAGGGTTGAACTTTGGGTAGTTTTCTTTAAGCTTCACCTCAAAGCAAGCCTTAGGGCCTAAGCATTACACACTTCTCTGCCTGCCACATCAACAGGTTAAGAGATAAGATCCCATCACCTGCTACAACAGGGTGAGAATACACAATGTTAAAGCACTGCAAATTTTCCACCACCAATCATTTCCTCCTCAATTGGGATCAACTTGCCATAACTATAAGCCTATATTTTTTTGATGAATAACAGAAACTGAACTATTAGGTTATAAAGAGAGAGTACGAAGGAGATTAAGG